GAAAGTTAATCGATTTTTTTGCCCCCCCCCACCCCCTAGAAAGTTTTCTGCGGGCACCCGTGGTCTTCTAACACATTATGTATAATTTTAATTTGATTGGAAGTAAGCTTGTTGTGTTCTCTTACCACATTATGTATAGTTTTAATTTGATTGGAAGTAAGCTTGTTGTGTTCTCTTCTACAGAACATCCCCCAAGTTGGTCAAAGTGTGGGAACGTTACATGTCAACGTTCAACCCCTTGGTACTGCAGATGTATCCAAAGTCATAAAATCGTGCATACCAAAAATAACAAATGATTGTGTCATATATAATTATCAGTCATTTTGTTAGATTAAATGTTTACCTGCTATAAGCAAAGGGAATGAGAACAAAAAGAGACACAAGCCAGACATTTGGGACTTTAATAAATGGGTTGAAATATGTATTTGATGTTACCATTTCAGTGAATAAACAATGCCAGGTTTTCTTGATGTTCCATAAATTGAGTTAGCTTTTTACCAGCAATCATTTTTACCAGCTAACTATTTCAAAAATAGAAAATTTCTCTGTTTTTAATCATGAATTAATAAGAATTCATTGATCTGAAAAAAATAGCATTTCACTACATTTTCATTATTACAATTTTAAAATATGATCTTTAATCTAAACCCCATTGCTAAATTTTTTTTCATAAATCTTGCCTGGAAAAGTCCCCTCCCCAACCCCGCTACCAATGTCCCCACCACCACTACCCCACCACCACTGCCTCCACTACCACTGCCCCCACTACCACTAGTGTTGCGGGGACAGTGGTGGTGGAGGCAGGGGTAGTGGGGACAGTGGTAGTGGAGGCAGTGGTAGTGGAGGCAGTGGTAGTGGGGACAGTGGTAATGGAGGCAGCGGTGGTGGTTGCAGTGGTGGTAGGGACAGTGGTAGTTGAGGCAGTAGTAGTGAAGGCAGTGGTAGTGGAGGCAGTGGTAGTGGAGGCAGTGGTAGTGGAGGCAGTGGTAGTGGGGACAGTGGTAATGGAGGCAGCGGTGGTGGTGGTAGGGACAGTGGTAGTTGAGGCAGTAGTAGTGAAGGCAGTGGTAGTGGTAGTGGGGACAGTGTTGATGGAGGCAGTGGTGATGGGGACAGTGGTGGTGGTGGCAGTGGTGGTAGTGGAGGCAGTGGTAGTGGGGGGACAGTGGTGGTGGAGGCAGTGGTGGTGAGGACAGTGGTAGTGGGGACTGGTGGTGGAGGCATTGGTGGTGGAGGCAGTGGTGGTGGGGACAGTGGTAGTGGGGACTGGTGGTGGTGTGGTGGTGGTGGGAGAGGTGGGGGGGGGGGGGGTGGGGGGGGGGGGGGAGTGGTGGTGGGGGGAGGGGTGGTGGGGAGGGTGGTAGGGGGGAGTGGTGGGGGGGGCAGTGGGGGTGGGGGCAGTGGTGGTGGGGACAGTGGTAGTGGGGACTGGTGGTGGAGGCATTGGTGGTGGAGGCAGTGGTGGTGGGGACAGTGGTGATGGAGGCAGTGGTTGTGGAGACAGTTGTAGTGGAGGCAGTGGTGGTGGGGTAGTGGTGGTGGGGACAGTGGTAGTGGAGGCAGTGATGGTGAAGGCAGTGGTAGTAGAGACAGTGGTAGTGGGGACAGTGGTAGAGGGGACAGTGGTAGTGTCCACTGTCCCCACCACCACTACCCCACCACCACTGTACAAGATCTACTGACACAATGTCTGGAATCATGGAGATGTACAAGATCTACTGACACAATGTCTGGAATCATGGAGATGTACAAGATCTACTGACAAAATGTCTGGAATCATGGAGATGTACAAGATCTACTGACACAATGTCTGGAAACATGGAGATGTACAAGATATACTGACACAATGTCTGGAATCATGGAGATGTACAAGATCTACTGACACAATGTCTGGAATCATGGAGATGTACAAGATCTACTGACACAATGTCTGGAATAATGGAGATGTACAAGATCTACTGACACAATGTCTTGAATCATGGAAATGTACAAGATCTACTGACACAATGTCTGGAATCATGGAGATGTACAAGATCTACTGACACAATGTTTTGACACAATTCGTGTCACCAATCACTTATGACACACAATGAGTGTCACCAATCACTAATGACACACAATTGGTGTCACCAATCACTAATGACACACAATCAGTGTCACCAATCACTAATGACACACAATCAGTGCCACCAATCACAAATGACACACAATCGGTGTCACTAATCAGTTTTTCAAAAACTTCTTGACTTTTGTTATTAGTAACATTAAAAAATATCAATCTTCCAATCTAATTAAAACAGTAAAATCATGACAGCTGTTGGTACAGCTCAGTAAAATCATGACAGCTGTTGGTACAGCTCAGTAAAATCATGACAGCTGTTGGTACAGCTCAGTAAAATTCCATGGCCCCTGTTTACAGTACAGCTTAGTAAAAACATAAAACTGATTTTGAAGGATTTCTTTTTTTTTCTTTTATTTTCTGTGTACAATCCTTGATGTTAACAGCCACAATTGTAAAACAATCATTTAAAAAAATAACACGTCTATCTGATAGAGATGTTTCCCTGATGTGGTCTATCTGACAGAGATGTTTCCCTGGTGTGGTCCATCTGATAGAGATGTTTCCCTGGTGTGGTCCATCTGATAGAGATGTTTCCCTGGTGTGGTCTATCTGATAGAGATGTTTCCCTGATGTGGTTTAGTTTCACTCACTCGGTTCAAGGTCAAGATCTTAGCTCAGCTTCCGGTCGACAAACAGTAATCAAGACTTATAGATAAGAAAGTGTGTTCCCAGTGCAGTAATGTAGATAAAATGACGATTTTCGTAAGTCACGTAACTGCTGAAGCTGCGCCCAACCACGACATGCCAATTAGGGCGGTACTTGAAGTCCATCTGCCCTTTTATATAGGAAGCCATTGTCTGGAAAGTAAATAACGAAAGTTAAATGATTTTATTCCTCACAGTAGGAAGGCATCTGCCTATCAGAAATAATATACAAAGTTGTGTGTGGTGGGGAGGGTGATAAAATGAACAGGTGAGGGTGAAAAAAGAGCAGACAGACAGACTGCCTAGTGCAGTGTTAAGGAAATTGTAAACTTTTCTTATTTCTCTTAGGAAAGATTTAGTGAAACAACACCATGGTGTCTAACAATCACTAATGATACACAATTTGTGACACTTTTATCGATACGACTAATCACAGTGTACTTACTTTTCCTCCCTTTGCCTGTATTTAATCCATCACCTAGTTACTTTCTGTTACATTCCTCTTGCTGTCCTCTCTGTGCCTGTATTTAATCCCTCACCTAGTTATTTTCTGCTACATTCCTTTTGCTGTCCTCTCTTTGCCTGTATTTAATCCCTCACCTAGTTATTTTCTGTTACAATACTCTTGCTGTCCTCTCTCTGCCTGTATTTAATCCCTCACCTAGTTATTTTCTGTTACAATCCTCTTGTTGTCCTCTCTCTGCCTGTATTTAATCCCTCACCTAGTTATTTTCTGTTACAATCCTCTTGTTGTCCTCTCTTTGCCTGTATTTAATCCCTCACCTAGTTATTTTCTGTTACAATCCTCTTGCTGTCCTCTTTTTGTCTGTATTTAATCCCTCACCTAGTTATTTTCTGTTACATTCCTCTTGCTGTCCTCTTGGATACTACATTTCAGCTGTGTTATTTTTATTTAATTCTGTTTTTACTGTTGCTTGTTTGCTGATGAAGGCTACTTGCAGACACGTTCGCTGTTTTGTTGCGTTATATTTTTTCAGGTTTTCCCACACTTTGTTTTGCTCCTCTTTCCATTTCTCTAACCTCATTGCAGTCTCTTCCCCTTATTACATTACCATAGTGTCTACCAGTAGCGTAGCCATCTTTTCGATAAAATGAAACAAATATTTCATTGAGAAAGCTCCACTTTTGGAAAATGTTATCGGTGCTACCTTTGCGCCCCCCTCTCCTTTATTGACTTTGCTACAGGTGCCTACATATACAAAAGATTGACATGGAATTCCCAAGACATACTGAGCACTAGGGGGAGGGGATAGAGGGGTGGTGATAGACCAACAAATAGTCTGTGGTGTCACTAGGGGGTTGCAGCTTGCTCCCCCTCATTAAGGGCAGGGGGGGGGTTGAAACCCAAACGGAAAATTGCAAATTAAATACAAGAGCAGGGTGAGCCCAGGAGAGAGTCCCACCAGACCAGGATGTCATTAGAGTGTCTTAATGTGGTCTTCAATAAGATTAGTGAAGTGGCTTAACTTTGTGCCGCAAGATCAGGGTGCCAGAAGAACAGGGTGCCACAAGAACAGGGTGCCATCAGAGCGTCTAGCGCATTTTTCAATAAGATCAGTGTGTGAACATCATGGAGATGTACAAGATCTACTGACACAATGTTTGGACAACATGGAGATGTACCAGATCTACTGACACAATGTTTGGACATCATGGAGTTGTACAAGATCTACTGACACAATGTTTGGACATCATGGAGATGTACAAGATCTACTGACACAATGTTTAGACAACATGGAGATGTACAAGATCTACTGACACAGTGTCTGGACATCATGGAGATGTACAAGATCTACTGACACAATGTTTTGACAACATGGAGATGTACAAGATCTATTGATACAATGTCTGGACATCATGGAGATGTACAAGATCTGACACAATGTCTGGGCATCATGGAGATGTACAAGATCTACCGACACAATGTTTGGACATCATGGAGATTTACAAGATCTACTAACACAATGTCTGCACATCATAGAGATGTACAAGATCTACTGACACAATGTCAGGACATAATGGAGATGTACAAGATCTACTGACGCAATGTTTGGACAAATGGAGATGTACAAGATCTACTGACACAATGTCTGGACATCATGGAGATGTACAAGATCTGCTGACACAATGTTTGGACATCATGGAGTTGTACAAGATCTACTGACACAATGTTTGGACATCATGGAGTTGTACAAGTTCTACTGACACAATGTCTGGTAAACATGGAGATGTACAAGATCTACTGACACAATCAGTCCTTTAACTTGTGTGGCCAATACTGTTGTCGCTGAATGGGCGTCATGTGTAGCATTTTTTGGTACGCTAGTTCATTTGGTACTGCTGGTCATTAGGTACTATGGGTCATGTAAACAAATGCAACACACTTCTGATGACACAGAGATGAACCAGTTCTATGTGGCCCTTTAGCATATGAGAGATTATATTTTAATAAATAATAATAAACATAATCAATTTTTTTTTTTTGAATTTTCAAAATTTATTTAACTACTTGTAATCACTGTGTTTATTCAAAGCCTCCCACCACAAAGTGTCGCCCTTCTGCCCCCTCCTCCTAAGCCCATTGTCATACCTTGTAATCACTGTGTTTTTTCCAAGCCCCCCCCCCCAAAAAGTGTCGCCCTTCTGCCCCATCTTCCTAAGCCCATGGCTGTACCTTGTAATCACTGTGATTATTCAAAGCATCCCACACAAAATTCTTTGCTTCAATCTGCATTAAGGCTTCCATATCCTGTTTGTTCACCACTATCGTGGCGCTAGGTTGGGTCATTTTGATAGGTAACCTTGGAAGTAAGAATAGCGTTTAAAAAAACAAACATTGTTAATAAGTACAATTCATTTCCTGCTAATACTTTTATCTCCTCAAATCAATGATTGGCAAACCACAGTTTCAGAGACACCTTTCATTATTAAACCTTTTTTTAAAACTGAAATTAGTACTCGTCAATGCAGCTTAAACAAGTGGTTGCATTCCCTGCGGTGGTTAACTATACCTAACGACTGTGTTAGTGTGCTAATAGATAATGGTTGCAGTGGCTTGGCTAGGATTATTGCCAGGTTTCATAACGAGAAAAAGTCTACAATTTACCGATAATGACATATCTCTATATAAAAAAAAATATGCCCAGGGGGGCGGACAACCTTCTCCCCGCTCCCTTTCCTACGCCAATGAATTGTTGGCATTAACCGCGTCTGCAATTTAGGCCTCATCTTGAAAAGCAGAATCCAGCAATTGTTAACAATGTGTTTAATTCCTAAATGTTTATTGAGAAGATATAAATTTATGAAATGGCTCTTCACTCCAAAAAGGTTGCTGACCCCCTGCCCTAAAAGGAAAGCAAACGTCTTTTTTCTTTTTAGTCAGACAAGCGAGTCACAAAAATTATGCCAAAAATTTTCGTATTCAGGAGGAATGCTTCTAATCAAAGTGGCGCATAGAAGAAGGCTTGCAGAGGTGTAATGAATAAGTGGCAAGACAGGGGTGCAATCCATGTGTCCCATGTGAAGGAGCGCACTTGCAAGATTTGGAGAGCCGGACAAAGAATGGACATACATTTTTAAAAAAATCGTTTTATGGTTGTTGTTTTTTTGTTAACAGTTAGTTTACCTGTACCGTACTGAATAAGTTGCACACTAACTGATTAATCTGCTTTTCTTGTTACACTTTATGGTACATCTTAAGTAGCCTGTTATAAAATTTCGGCAGTCCATAAATAGGCTTGCTTACTAATCTGACACTCCGTGACTAGCCTATTTATAATAGTTATAGATCTACTTAGCCACCTATCACCAACAATCTGTGATATCCATGATTTCTAATTATCATAACATTTCTATACTTTTGGGCCATCTAGCAATTTATTTGTGTAAACACAAAGCTCAAGACAATAGTGATGAAACATTGCGGTGATCCCAACTAGTATTTTAACCAATACCTCAGCTGGTATCTTAAATAATGTCTCAACTTCTTAACCAGCACCAAACCGATAGTCATCTAACCTTGTCAAACGGTCTTAAAACTTTGATCTTTCTGAAATGAGTGTGGTCCCTGCTTGAAAACATTCTTTAAATATTGCCAGGATAACGTTTTTGCTGCACGTTTCTTAACAACTCTGAAAAGGAGTTGGCTAAATCTTCTTCCCACCTCAACCAAGCACCCATTTACTGTCAACCAAGCAACCATTTACTGTCAACCAAGCAACCATTTACTGTCAACCAAGCACCCATTTACTGTCAACCAAGCACTCATTTACCATCAACACATTTACTTTGATTAAATAGTTAACTCCACCTAAAATACATCCCCCTTAATACACACTACCACAAACGCTAACCCCAGTTAGTAATCAGTTACAGTAGTTGAATGCTTGTGCATTGACTTGATTTAATTCAGTTGTTGTTCGTCTGCATAAATATATAGATGACCAAGACCATATTTGAGGGTGGCTTTTCAGTCCTATATTAGTGCCTGGAAAGCTCACCAACATGTATGATATGATTGCTTTGGGGAATTAGTGCTATTTAGGCTTAGGGTAAATTTAGCTTTTCCTTGATGAGGGTGGTCTTCATGCTTAATCTCTGACTGGAGAGTTTTCTGACAGTGAGTCTGCCTCAACAGGTTGTGAGATCCAAAACAAATTTTTCCCATGAGTTTTAAGTCAATGTCAATGGGTTAAAGGGATAGTAGTATTTAAAACACTTTCTGTCCTCCAACTGTGCACTTCCCTTTGGATACTTTCTTCATATTGCCTATAATTTACTATAATAGTTGTTTAGTTAAGCAATCTGGTGTTTGCCGTGCATGAAAATGGTTGCTGAGCTCTGGCCTAAATAATAGGCCTACCAAATGTTAACAAATAAAACATAAAAAAATTAGATAAAGCAGAGCTTGTGCCACTCACCTCGACTTGACTTATACACGTTATTCTCAACCACATTTAGTATTTAAAAACAAAATATAAATTACATTCATAATTTGCTCATTCCTTATCCTTTTGATTTAAAATTTAAATTTATGGGGCTATACTCAACGTTTTTGTCTGAGTAAATGTGATAATTTAAATTAACCACTAGGACTAGTCGAACTATCTTTTTTGTAGCATTTCAATTTAGTTGATTAGCAGGCCTCGCCCTACTTTTACCATTATTTATACTTAGTGTAACTTAGTTTGGATGTCATCAATCTCCATGACAACCAACAACACAGACGGTTGTCAGTAAACAGGTTCGATAGAAAACTTTAAAATTGATTTTATAGCCTACCTTTAATTTATGAAGAGTGAAGTAGGAGTACAGTATTATGATGATAATATTGCAGTTGGAGAATTTTAATGAATAAGCTTTCTGGAGCTAAGTCTAAGACTAAATTAAACACTGTAGTCTAGATAACATTCATTCCTTCTTTCATTCCTTTGGCGGCGGTCTACACTTATTCTAATGGACCATAATGCAACACTGTTCGCCAAAAAATGTTGCTACGTTACAGTTACCATAAAATAATTATATTTATATAATGCATTGGGGGGGGGGCGTCTTTGTTTTTTTATAAATGGAAATTTTTTTGATTGCATTATATATTTTCAGCACAAAAATAAAACAATTTGAACACAAGACATTTATAATAAATTATTTCAAACAGCCATTCAGTGAGTTCAGTATTAAAATAAAAAGTTTAATGAGTAATGATATATTTATGGCTTCTAATCAATAAAAATCGTTCAAAAGTAATCTTTACTTTAAATTTAAAATTATTGAAATAATTTTTTTTTTTAAGTTAAAAAGTTTTACTTTATGAAATCGATAAATATGGTAGAGCAGGAGTCACCAAACTCGGCCCGCGGGCCGGTACTGTTTGATAAAACGTACGGAACACGAGACGTTGTGATACAACTTAGATTTAATATTATGTTTAGAATACTATGAGATCTTCAAACGTGCGGAAACCTCCTGGGGGCTTAAATTTACCATTTTCAATTTTAAATTATTGTATCTACATTTTCTTGTTTATTGTAATATTTGCGTATGTCGCGCCATCCAAAAATCCTTCACCGGCTCGTGGTGGCTACGCCTACGCTCTGACGTTACCATGGTTAACACCAATGATTTACATGGAATACTTAACTTAGTTTTACGTCTTCTTTCTCAAAGCTTTCGTTCTGGCCTGCGAGTATTGTACAGAATGATTATCCGGCCCGCGCTTGTCATTTTGTCAGTTATCCGGCCCACTGTGAAAAAAAGTTTGGTGACCCCCTGGTGTAGAGTGTACTGTAACAAGATATGAATATGAAACTATCGGTACAAAGGTACACTATTACTATTGATACTAACACATTTGCCAATCCTCAATACTAAGATTTTTTTTTTAATATTTAAAAAATCATTAAATAAGTAACCCCAAATAAAGTATATATCTTTTGTTATTGTTTTTAAAAAAAACAACATTGAGTGTTGAATTCAATTTATCTAATCAGAAATGTCTCAAACTCAGAGGCCCTTAAAATATGTCTTCATTTTAAGCTTATGTTTAATCCTTTTTTATTCTTCATGCATCCGTTCGTCTCAATAAGACGATGATAAGGTTTTTGCATTAATTTTTGTTTTCCTCTGTTTTGTTTCGATTTCTTTAAAATATGAGCTCGTTAATACTCAGTTTACACAATTAAAATTTTCGTAAAATTTGTGTATGATCGTACTATTTTGTGTGTGATTTCTTTTTCTTCTTTTTAAATTCTTTATATTACTTTACGTTTGTTCGTCTGTTTCTGGACTGTTGTGTGATAAAACCTTTTTGACGACTAATTGATCCACTTCCAGCCAATCTATCGAGCAGTAAAACTTGGCACGTAGACTCGTTGCCGATGACAGCAAATTCTATCCAATTTTCAGCCCCAACCCACCCATTAAAAGTCAGTTTTTCTGTTTTTCTAGGGTTAAAAAAAAATAATGAATGAGTAAAACTAAAGGTCAAACCTGAAAAAAGGAGCGCAACAAAACAACGAACGTGTCGGCAGGAAGCATTCGTCAGCGAACAAACATCAGAAAACAGAAAAGATTTAAAAAAAAAAAAAGAAAAAAGCACCTAGCTGAGAAGTCGTATCCAAGAGGACAGCTAAAGAATTCCCGATAATGGCGCTAAATGTGATTCATAAAACAAAAACATCAGAAGTGCTTTTCATGCGTAGTATTTTTTTTTTCTGAAATAGTTGGTGAAAAAAATCTGTGAGTTGGTCATTATAATATAAATGTGGGGGGGGGGGGGGGGGGGGGGGGGGGGGGAAAGAAGAGATTGGGGAAAGGGGGCTAATTGGGATTATGATAAATTGTATTACTGGTATGTATGTTTTGTCAATTTTTCATGCCCCACCCCCCAATTGCTCTTTATTAAATTTTATAAAGGATTTGGTAAAAGTGCAGTTGAGGTGCGTATATTATTTCTTAATGCATTTCATATTTAATCATGTTAACTTACGTGTATTCTTTATTAATTAAATACAGGTAGTTACATATATTTATATATTTTAAACTATGTTTTTAGGTGTTGTTTAATTTTGGACAAAAATTAGAATTTAATGAAATACTAAGGTGTTAAAGGCGATAACCACTCGCAGCATTGCTTTTTTTTTTTTTCACGTGATATTACAGTTACTGCTGATTAATCAAAATGGCAGCCATCTAAATAAACGGGGCACTCGATTAAAATATTTGAAAACAAGACATTGTCAAGTTTCTCACTCCTTCGAAGGATACAATTTTTAAAAAAAACTTTGCATAATTGAAATTTCACTACCAGAAGCCTGAACACTAAAGATTGCTTAGCGATAGTGGCTTAGACAACGGGCCCTGAGATTACTGAGAATTTAAATGGTAATAGTAAATAGTAAATAGTGTAATAGTAATAATATAGTAATATATAGTATATATAAAAATATAAAGTAATGTACAAAAAATAAAAAGAGTAAAGAGCGATTCCGTGCGGCCGTGCGACTTCTTCTTATGTTTCTATATGCTATTATATATTTTGCTTTGGCTATTATTGTGTATAGTATAGATCATCCCGTGACTTCATTTGCGTGTTTATTTATAGTTGCAGTGAATTAGGGTTCAGGTTAGGTTGAGAGCTACATTTAAGTAGGTACTTTGACACACATTTTAAATATTGTCCAATAGCCACAAATGATACACCATTTTAAAGGGCTCGCTATAAGCTTTGCAAAAACACCAATTTCATCTTTCTATCTTTTATGGAAAAAAAGTTATGATTTTTTTGGTGAATTTTTTAACCCCTTTATTTATCTTTGTATTTAACGAAAAAACTTGTGACCAACTTTCCACATTTCTGCTTTATTTTGTCCACAACTTTTTTATTTTAAAAGATAATGCTACCAAACTTTCAGGAGACATTCTCAATGCAATATACAACACAATAAACAACAAAACTTTTATATAACATCAAGACTTTTATTTTTTTATATATTTAATCGAGGGTATGTTCAGAAAAAAGTGAACAGAAAAATTGGGAAAATCATTATTTATACAGGAAAAATTGAAAAAAATAACATGTTTATTGAATTTTAACTAATTTTATTATGCTTGTGTTAAATTTTAAATCATTATATTTATAAAAAGGTAAGTAGTCTTTTTTTATATATAAAATTGAACGCATGTAATTATATATAACAAATACTAATATCACCCATAAAACTAATTACAAGCATACCCTTATCGGAGTATGTCATTAAATATTTAAAAGGTAATGGGGATCTTCTGCCTGCCATTTTCCGGGTAGAATGCCCTATAGTGACTTCTTTGTCTTGTTGATGAAACCCACACATTTTTCCTTCATAAACTTTGTCGCCGCCATCTGCATCCAAACATTCCGCCTTATTGGATATGGGCCATGGAAGGAATTCCAAAGTTTGCAACAGAAATGTAAAATTTTCTCTTCCACCCAAAAGAAGCCTAACATTAAATACTAATCATAATTCTGAATCTATACAATTTTTAGTTTCTTTTTAATATTATTCAAGTGATGTTTTTATTAAATTTATTTCCTTTTTTTGTTTTGTTTATTTAATTAGAAATATATTATTGTTGATATAAATGTTAACATTTTCTTATGCCTCTGTCCTAGTTTGATATAATTACTATGATGATGTAGAGTCTTATTTATTTATTTATTTTAATAAACTTGTTATAGACTAATTCATAGGTTATCTAATTTTAATTTTAAACAAGTCACAGTGACTCAGTGACGCAATTTTCACAAAAAATAAATATGTACGAAAAAAAAAATAATTATGCATTACCATATTTTATTGGAATTACAATTGATAATAGTATATTTTTAATAGTGGTAGCAACTGCTTTTATTTTGTTATTATCATTAATTATAATTTATAAATACCACTAATAACTAGCATTATATATTATAGTAGTAGTATTACTACTACTACATATAATAATTATATAAATCAAGGGACAAAACAAGTCCGAAATTCACCGGACTACACGAACTACAATTATTTAAAATTATTTAATTTATTAAGTTGTACTACTTTCTAATAATATTGTAAAACAGTTTTCCCTTTATTAACTAATTAGTCTACCACGGATTATCAAAGATGAACTATAATGAATAAATGAAAATATCTTTAAGTTAAATTGGTAATAACAACCATTTCCGACAACCCACTTTTTTTTGTGAGGGGGGATGACTCGGGTGACTACTAACAATTTTATTTTCTTACACCTTCCAGTTGGATTGGCATAACTTTTGTGCGTTTGAGCTAATTTTAATGAAGTAAAGTTATTAAACTGTGTGAATGAATGAAGCAGTATTGGGCTAAACCACTATGTGTTTGAGTTTTACATTAAAAAGTAATAAGCAATTAACGTGCATACCGATGAAAAATTAAATGCGTTACCGGTCACAAGATTCTAAATGCTGTAAATATGGTATTCACATGTTTGGAAAAATATGTGCTCTACGTCACCGATAATTTAAATACTATTATTAGGAAACAGTGACGTACAACGCAAAAAAACGACACCCTCGCTATGCCGTATAGCTATATTGCAGCTCAAGTTTTTCCGTGATTTTTCGACTGCGCAGAAGGGATGCGCGTGCGTCTTTTAAAATACCTAATTTAAGGTTTAGCTTACATTAAATGGGTAGTTCGGTAAGATCCGTGAAGTGCCAAAAATCGGGTATCGAGAATTCGTTGTCAAAATGGCGACGTCCACTTTTTAATTTACAGAGAGTCACGTTGTTTACGACTTTTTAACAAGCCTATTTATAGCCCAGCATATGTAAATTCTATTTCTGCCCACAACTTAGAGTAGATATGTTGTGTTATGATTAGACATTGTAGTCCCCCAAAAAATTTTGGGGCTTCACTTTGAAAATTGAAGGTAAAATAATGCAATTTTTACTCATTCATATTTTTTGTGTGGAAAGGATACTTTCTTTGAATT